CCTTGGTCTCTCCTTCTTCTTTTTAGTTATGTTTTAATTTATGGTTTTATGTGTTTATATATTTTATGTTCTAATGTTTATTGTGAATCGCCCATTGGGGGGAGATGGGCAGTTGAAAAATTTAATAAATAAATAAATAAATATAAATAAATAAATAAATAATTTGTGAGATGTAGGCACTCTTGTTTTGTAATGCTTCACTTTGTTTTCTCTCTCTAAATTGGACTTTTGCCAGTGACTCAGTTTTGGGTTCGTATTCAGTTTGACTTTATATGTATGCACGTATTGTTATAAATATAGATCAGCATATTGTACTCTACGCCTAAACCCTTGCATACTTGATGATTGCAAATGCTTCAAAAAGATCAGGAGTAACAGCAGAGTAAATTATACTGCTGGCATGTGCAGTAGGATGCAAATGGTCCACTGTATGACTTTTTGTTATTTCCAGCTGTGTTCAGCAGCAGTATTATTGTAGTACTGTTAAATAAAGAGAATAGTTACAGTAAATACTATATTCTTTTCAGAGAGATAGTTATTTTGAAGGAAGAAGGACAAAAAAATCAGAACCAAGTATTGCCACTTGAGGTTTATGTTTACTTCTTCCCCCCATAAAAAAGACAAATATGGCCTGAGTTGAAATAGAATGTATGTTTAAATTGTAGAGTACCCTATGACATATTTCTTTCTAATGGTTATTTTTGTGTTTGCTGATAACTTAAGGTGAGGTAATATATTTAACAATATCAATTCTAATACTTAACCGCTGCATTCTGTTCCATTTAATCTTCCATAGTATTTGAAGCCCATAGGAAGGAAGCCAGATTATGTAGGCAAGAATTTGAAAAAGTGAAAAAAAAGAGATATGAGCGATTCACCCAGTGTTTTGAGCATGTGTCAGTTGCTATTGATCAGATCTACAAGAAGCTTTGTAGAAACAACAGTGCTCAGGTTAGTATTTCGTTACTATTAATTAACTAAAAATATAAATTTGACAGCGCATCACTATTAAGAATTGTTGGTATTAATTTGTTTATGTATGCCATTTCCATGCTGGGCAGTGTACATCGAAGTTGCTAAACTGAGACATAAACAACAAAATGTAGTTACAGAATGAAACACCGAATAAGGTTACACAGTTACATGAAACACAGAGAGGTCTTAAAACTTTAAAACGTGAAGACCTCAAAATCCATTAAAAGGTTCCTAAGAGTCCCTTAGAATCTGGAAAAATAAAAAAGAAGAGGTCCTACAGCCCTGAAAAGAAGAGCAAGTAAGCTTGGAGAAAGAAAGCATTGCACCATGGAGTGCTGTCACCCAAAGGAACTTTTCTCTTAGATCCTGCCTGGTAGGAGAACTTTGCCAGGTCACATGTGGCCATGTCAAGGTATGGATAGGTGTATATGGAAGGAGGCAAACTAATTAATCAGTAACATGATTATTCCAGAACATAGTTTTAAAAATACATCTTATTATTCTGGGTCTTCAGAAAGCATATAATCTATCCAAGGCTGAATCCCTTTTTTTATCTTATCTCACTTAAGCTTTAGGTCACTTGCCATTTTGACACCAGACAAACAGCTTTTGTGAATTCAGATAGAGAGATAAAATTAGGTATCCTCAAAATTCTGGTGGCACCAAACCCCAAATTTCAGGTATCTCCTGGTGGAATACCCCCTGAGGAACACAAGACAACAACCACAGTGTGAAGTAGCAGTCCAACCACCTTTTCCAATACTCCCTGCCCGCTCCCCCCCTCCCCCAGCAAAGAACTGGGGTCATCATAAAACTGAGTTTAACGTCCTCTGCTTCTGAACTGAATGAGAAAATGTTGTGGATGTTGTAGGCCTTTCTTAGTCCAGAGAATCCTGAGGAACCTTACTTGGGAGGCATCGGCTATAACTGTGTCGCTCCTGGGAAACGATTTATGCCAATGGACAACCTCTCAGGAGGAGAAAAGTCTGTTGCAGCTCTGGCTCTTGTGTTTGCGATGCACAGGTAACGAGCTGAGTCTTGCTACTGTTTCTGGAAAAGGAAGGTAATGTGACTGGTATCTTTTCTTCTTATTGCTCAAATCAATCATGCCTGCTCAGAGTTGCAAACTTAACATTCTGTAGAAGGCAGGGATGTTCACTCCAAGTACTCCCAACAGAATGAGGTATTTCTGTGAGGGCACATTTTTTTTACCGGCAAGAATGAGCAACTTTGCATAAACTTAAGGCAAAATAAAATCTCCCTCCCTCACAAATAATTGAGATTTTTTTTTCATCGGGGGGTTAAGAAGCAAAAGTTCCTAATCTGAGGGTGAAGTTTATCTCATACACCTGTCAAAATAAACTTTTGTGTATAAGCCTGGATCACTTTCTGATTTTGATTATAACTGTACTTTTAAGAGAGATATTCCTGTTGATATCTGAATACATCAATAGATTGATGTTGCCCCCTAGAATTAACAATCATATACTAATCCATGCAATTTTGCCAGTCATCTGAAATAAATCAGGATTATTTTTAACAAGCCCATAAAAATTAACAAGAACTATTGTTTTTGTTGTTCAGTCGTTCAGTCGTGTCCGACTCTTCGTGACCCCATGAACCATATTGCGCCAGGCCTTCCTGTCCTTCACTGCCTCCCTGAGTTTGCTCAGTTTCATGCTCAAACAAGAACTAAGTCAAAGTCAAATATCCTCAGATTAATAATAAAAAAAATACCCATAAGGATCAATATGTATTACTACCATATTAACTTCTTTCCTAACTAACAACATAACTCCAGCTGCATTAGTACTATTATCTCTGATACATGAAATACCTGGCTGTCTAATTTCAGACAAAAAAAGATGTTTCATCATTTCTGAGATGAGATTCTTGTTAAAATATACAATCAGCTTTATATCTATTTATTATTTTAAGTATCTCTTTCACATTCAGAATCAATATCCTTAACCGTGACATATAAAAAACATGGAATGTAATATGATTATACAAAGAAACCATAGAAAATAAGCTGCCTCAAAAGCAATGAAATAGTGCCATTATAGATATGTGGATGAGTACTGTATGGCCCCAAAGCATTATTACACAAATAATCCAACCAGCGATGAAAGTAGATATACCTAAAATTAAAAATATATAACAAAATACTTAAAGAAATTAAAGCAACAGAAATAAGTAAAAACTACTTTCACAGAGAACCATTTCACCACCTTCATCACCTTCCTCCTACCCACTCTTGTTAATGAAATTAAGCATTTTGGACAAGACCCAGCAGTGGGTAATCCAGACCAACCAACATCAAAACATGGAAACCTTACCCAGGAAAAAAATAGGCATTTCAAAATGGCAATGGTCAGTTAAAAAGGGCAGTGCTACATCAGGATCCATAAAGTGCTTACTCTCATCAGTGCTGCACAGATAGAAAATTTTGAGAAATAAGGGAATTTTTTTTTCTTTAGCTAAGACCTGAGCCAAAGAAAATGCCTTTCTCAGAGAGATCATAGTGGACAGAAAGATCCTGATGCAGGAAAGGTCTGGGTCTTATCTTTAAATTTTATTTAAGAGATCTCACATGCCTTTCACATCACAAACTGCAACCCTGAGAAATTTGACAGTCGGAAGAGCTCTTAGGAATCTTCAGACTGGTTCTAACTCACTACACATCGTTGATTTCCAAACTCAATTCAGGGGATAATGAGAGTAACTCTTGAAAACATTTTTCCAAAAACTCAGGCAAAGTAAGCCTTCAATATCTGTGGGTAGACCACATATTTTTAAGTGTCTGTGAGTCAGCTCTCCTTGTACTGTAATCAGGGCTTTGTCATGCAAATCTGCGTCCTCTACTCGCCTTTGAATTGTAAATCTGGCAGCCTTCAGTACCATTCACTAATTTTTAATAAACCATTAAACCACTCACTAATTTTTAATAAACCATTTAATTGTGTTTACTTTGTTCTTTCAGTTTTAGGCCTGCTCCCTTTTTTGTTTTAGATGAAGTCGATGCAGCACTAGATAACACAAACATTGGAAAAGTAAGTCACCCAATTCTCTGATTATTGTATTTATATCCATTTATTATTTTGTACAACTCAAGGCGGGATACATAATGCTCCCACCTCCTATTTTCTCCCCAACAACAACTCTGTGAGGTGGGTTGGAATGAGAGAGAGTGACTGGCCCAAAGTTACCCAGCTGGCTTTCTTGCCTAAGGCAGGATTAGAACTCTCTGCCCCACTAGGTAGACCAGACCAGGAAATCAATTCTGGGGAAAGGCTAAAACTACTTTATTGGTTATAATAACAGAACCTTGCAAGTATGATTGTGCTGGACCTCATCTTCTTCCTTATACTCCTGTGAATTAGGGAGGTGTCTGTCTGAGCCTCCTCTGGCCATTTTCTGCCTGTTGTGGATTTAAGGTATGTTTTAGTAATGCAGCTGGCCTATCTCCATCAAAGTCATCTTCCTTACTCCCTACAAGAGCTCATGGTCTCTTGGTTTTTAAGCCAGCACCTTAACCACTACACTAAACTGATTCTCTTCCTAAAGAGAAACTATTTTTTTGTCAGAGAAACTCAATTTGATTCAGGACTTTAAAATAGAACTAAGCTAATTGTATATTAAATGGTTGCTTTTTAATACAGACCTGTTTTTAGGCCAATATTCAAACATCTATTTTTTGATTAAAAAAATAACATCTGTGTTGTGAATTAAAAGCCAGATATATTTCCTATATTTTCAAAGATACTTTCTACAATTTTTTTTGTTTTGTTTTCTGAGCCTTCTATCCCAAAATATTATATTATTTAATTTCTTTTTTTTTTATTTTCATTTTTATACCAGCATAATCAACACTGACTCCAAGGAGTTTATATCAGTGAAAACATAAAACATACACTAAACCAAAAAGAGAAATCCAAATTTAAAATAAAGCATGTGCCTATAAACCCAATGATGACAATCCTCACTCCCCAAATGCCCTCCTGAAGGGCTGAATTGGGAGAGCTAGCCTGACCTCAGGAGGGAGGCCATTGCAATGTATGGGGTCTGCAACTGAGAAACATTGTCTGTGAGTCCCCCACTCCTTTCCCCTCAAAATCAGAATAATCTGGTGGAGTTTCACAGGTTGTTCCAGTAAGAACATGGCAATGCATTGTTCTGGGTGCAGGAAGCAAAGAGAGATACGTATATTCTAAACATTAACCATTTGAAGTGGAACCGCTTGGGTGGTGTCACAGAAGATAAGTCCTAAAGAATGTCTTATCAAGAAAGGATATTGGAAACTCCATAACCAAGATGCTAAACCTCTCGGGTGGGGGGGCAAGAAAAAGAGTGGAAGAGAAACTTGACTGCAGTCTCTGTAATGATCAACTGAGCCCAGGAACAGGGACATGCAAACATTTCCTCTGGTGGAAAAAGAGTTTCAGTTTGGAGGGGAGGGTGGTATCAAACCCTACACCTCTCAACTGTAGGGTGCCACAGAGCTTGATGCACTCCCTGCTCGAATTTAACACTTACATGAAACCACTGAACAAAATCATCCATTGGCATGGCAGGTTTCATCAGTATGCCCATTTACATCACATCTGACCAAATCAATGGTAGTCCTTGCTTAACAACAACAATTGGGACCGGCAACTCCATTGCTGAGCAATGCCGTCGTTTCAGTGAGACATCACGTGACCACGATGGACTTATGACCTCTTTTCTGTTGTGATTGTTAAGCCAATCACCTAAGTTTTTAAGTGAGTTGTCATGTGATTGCGACTTGCAATTTTACTGCCAGCTTCTCTGTTGACTCTGCTTGTCAGAAGCCGGCTATGAATCATGCAAATGATGATCACATGACTGTGGGATGCTGTGACAGTTGCAAAGTGCGCACATCTTGGTAATGTGGCTGTGGGGACTCTGCAATGGTAAGTGCGAGGACCAGTCATAAGGTTACTTTTTCAGTGCCGTTGTATCTTCAAATGGTTGCTAAACAGGGCAGTCATTAAGCAAGGACTACTTTTACTGTCCAGGGCACTGGAGGCTGGCTGGGTCTAAATGGGGAGGAACAGGTTGAGTCTCAATCCTGACAAAAGGAGTGGTTTTGGGCTGGAAGGCCTATTGATTCCAGTGAGATTCCTTCAAAAGTGTTGTATTCCCCCAGACGAAGTTGGTTCACAATCTGCGGTCCTCTTGGACTCATAATTCTTGCTTGAGGAGTAAGCAGCAGCTGCAGCTAAAAAGGCTTTTTCTCACCTCCATCTTGTTTGCTAACTGTGACTATTCCTGGGAAAGGAGGTGCCACCTACTGGCACTCATACCTGTGCCACCTCTTGATTTGACTATTGTTATTCACGCTACGTGGGGCTGTCCTTGAAGAGCATTCAGAAGCTACAGCTGGGCCAGAATGCAATGGCTTAAGTAGTTACGTTGCACCTCAAGGCAGCCCTGTGAAACCTTGACTTCGAGAGCTGCACTAACTGCCACTTGGCTTCCAGTTGCAATTCAAGTAGCAGGTTATCACCTTTAAAGCCCTACATGATTCAGAGCCTGAGTATCTGCCTTCCCCCAGTAACACCTCCCCTCCATTAATATCCAGCACAGGGGGCTGTGCATGTCCCCTCAATCAGAGACTGCCAACTTTAGGGCCATGGAAGCATGCCTTCTCAATCGCTTTCCCCGCAACCCCCCAAAAAACATTTGACAGCTCCCTTCCTCTTGACCTTCAGGAAATCAGTAAAAACCTATAACTCTCTCTCCTGAGGAGGAATTGCTTTATTCTGGGTATGTCTCCCAGTTTAATGTTACTGTAATGCATAATCTTGTTTTTAAATTCAATATTTATTTTTTTAAAATCTCAGTTACATGTTGGGGAGTTATACAGCCCTCAGAGTTACCTTGCAGAGAAATCAATTTCATTAACTCAGAAATAACAGTTCTTTTTATCATGGTGCAGTCTTTCTCGTTTCTAAATTTAACACATTCAACCGTAAATATGTAAAAAATAAGTTTAAATATATAATCTCTCCATTTTTACGTAGTACATTTTCAGTTGATACAGACTCCTTGTAGATACAGTAATGAGAATTTGATAATTTGATTTTTTCCCAGCAGCTTATTTACCAATTCTATAAAATAAATTTCTCTCTGAATCATATTGTCATATCCTATAACTCTAGCCATTCTCATAGCCATCTTTTTTTCTCTCCAAAAAGGTATCAAGCTTCATTAGGCAGCAGTCAGAAGAAAAGTTTCAGATTATAGTTATTTCTTTGAAGGAAGAATTCTATTCTAAAGCAGATGCTTTAATTGGAGTCTGCCCTCAAGTAAGTCATGGCTTCAGAGAAGAAAAAGAAGCACGGCTTCTATTAAATGAAGTCCTAACGGTTTTGAAAACTGAGTACTTGTCCCTGTATCCTTACAGTGAGGTGATCTCTGCTCAGTCTCTCTCTTCCCTTTTCAGCAAGATGACCTTATGTTTAGTCAGATGCTGACCCTGGATCTCACTCGCTATCCAGACTCTGAGGAGAACGAAAGGCAGAAATGGAGGAAGAGCTCTGTGCTGCAGTAACGCCAGTTAGTTTTACTAAGTTACGTTTTATGGCTCTAGATGAGGTCATAGGATCACTGTTGCAGTTGGTTTAAAGGTAGTTTCTAAAGCACTTACTTGAGTTTAAAACAACCCCCTTACATATTCAGTGTGCAGCTGGTTGACCTTCTGCATTATGTCATCCGGATATATATTTTTCTGGCTGGAGGTTGATTGTTCATATCTGCAGTACCTGAGACCCAAATTAGAAATTCAAAGCAGAGGAATAGAGTAGTACTCCACGTTGCAATCAAAACAGAAAATAAGGGAGATTGAAGAAAATAAGGCTATCCATTCTATTTTTCTTCTGGTAGCGTTGCCATTATCCTGAAAGATCCTGAAAACATGTTCCAGACAGCAACACATGCAGACCTCCATCAGAGACTAAAGCCGAAGGGTTAGGACTAAGTATCGGGAAGGGCGGTACAGAAAGCTACGCTGTTTTGGTTGCTGCGCTCTCTCGGCTCTGTCTTTTAGCCGTGTGTTTTCCGTTTGACTGGGGCTTTGGGATGGTATTAGAAACCTGTGGGTGTGTGTCACGTCTGCCTGGCATTCTAGTTGCCATGCGGCAAGCCTTGCCAATTTGGGGGCATCTCAAGTGAATGCTAATCCAGTTCAGATGAACATCTGTAGACAGTGTGACGTTGCACTTGTTGGAGACATGAATTAATAGTTTTTGATACAGAATGATGTTTGTATACCATACCTACTTGTATTTGAAGATGGTTCAATAAAACCAGTCTAGCATTTTACACACAAAACTTCCTGTCTGCTCTGAGTCTTTTCTATATGGAGGGCTAAACATTTATGGCAAGCTGGGGTGAAACTGACCATCTAATTTCATATTAACATAAATAAGTTTCATTTCATCTTAATAGGACCCTTTTTATTAGATGGCACTGAGAAGCATCTTTTCATGCTATCTTTTATTTCAGCTATATAACAGTTTGTCACCTTTCTCAATCATTTGTTTCTTCAGATCTAATAGATGCACAAGAGAACATCCATGTTTCTGAATTATATATGTATGTATATATCACATTTGTATAGCCGCCCATCTCACAAAAAAGTGTCTTTTTATTTATACAAATACAAAGAAATTAAGTGCACATATTTCTCATCTTGTTCAAGGTTTTTTTTTTCTTCAGGAACTTATAAAATGTATAAATCCTGTTACATCAGCACTTAGCCACTGATCTTTTGCAACTCCCAGTATTATGCTAAGAAAATCCAAGATTCCTGGTCATGCTCTTGCCCAGGCACCTGGAACGCTGTACTTAGATTTCGTTCCTCTTTCCTCTCGCTAGGCGTCACACAGCCCTTCAGGGGGAGAAAGAGGCTTCCTGTGCTTAACTCACACTGCATGGATTGAAACAAGATGAGAGGCGGTCAAAAAAACAAATGCTGTTTCGGAGGCCACAGCTCCTTCTTTTCCAAGACTTCATCCCTGAGATATTTAGAAATCTGCTCCTCCCCAAGGACACCTCTGAAATTTGAATTATCGGGTATGATATTCATATAGTTCTCCCCTCCCAAGAAGTGCACACCTATCTGTTCCTTGATTCTCAACAGATCCAAAGGGCCAGAGCAGGGAGCTGTTTCTCAAGGACTGGTGAGTTACAGTCACAGAAGGACACCATCTTCAGCAGGATCTGTTTAAAATAATGTTAAAGTCAGTTTTGTCAATATTGGCCCAGAAGATTTAAAATACTTTCTCATGGATGACCATAGGAGAGAGGAGTGCCCTCAGCCAAGCCAAACCAAATTTAGAGTTGCTTCATGGTGCATAAGTGAATTAGGTGTGCAGGGCTCAAAATTCATTCCACCACCTGACCATCACCTCCAACCACTGATTGCTCCTGCAATCACCCTTTCCTGTTACATAAGGAACTTCGGATTCTTGAAAGTGTCTCCTCCCTTCAACTGTGGCTCTCAGCCTACAACCCTGTGCATTTTTCTCTTTCCCCATACACAGTGAGGCATGATTTACACATGCTTTACAAAAGGAGAAAAGACATCAATTACAAAATGACCCAAAAGCCAAATAGAACAATCAGTATATAGGTCAACATTATGCAATTCTGGCACAGAATTACAAGGTCTAAAAAGTTAAACGGACTCTTCCAAAACACAATCATTCACTTTCAAACCTACCTATATTTTTTTAAAACTCTGGTGTGTGTGTGTGTGATGTCCATTCCTTGTATATGTCACTGTTGTGCAGGAGTTCTGACTCTTCCTGATGGGACATGCCCAGGAGATGGTGTGGGGGGATCAACTCATTCAAGATCTAGGTTACTGACCTATGATGACCCCCAGAGTTCCACCTTGTCTCCAATGCTGATATTACACGAAACTGCAGGGGGAGTCGTTTAGGGCTGAGAGTATCCAGCTTTGCTGTTCCCTACCTGATAAATATATAAATAAATACTGGACCGATCAAACCCTAACTATATTGCATGGATGGCAAAATCCCTTGATATTTCTCACACCATTATTAGTGACCCCTGTTAAGATCAGGGTTAGTGCTTTGTCAAAGACTAAGGAGCAAAGCATGAACTGCCTTGCCTTCATAAAAGTAAACTCGGAGAAGGCTTCCAGAATGCATACAGATGCCCTTGTAGAACAGTCCCTGGCAGTTTTTCTTTGTCCTAATTTATTTTAAGTAAGATCTACCATTCAGAGGAATCAGACACTTCATGTTATTGCCTCATTTCTCCAACTCCAAGTTGACAAGATAGATTGACAAGACAGATGGCGCAGGCGTTCTTCCCGACTATTATATGTCTTCTTCAAGATAAAAAGAATTGGTAATGGTAATTACCGTCCTTCAGGTGCCTTGCCTTCTTGGCCCGGTCGTTCCGACTCTCCCCTAATCTTCTCTTTGTGCAATCCGCACATGATGGCCCTGCAAGAAGATGTGTTTTTATGTAGCCAAAGAAGAAAGCCAGTATAATGTTGACAAGACTTAATTTTAATTGGAGTTAAATATTTCTGCTTTTACTCAGGGTGAAAACCAGTGGGGTCCATGGGGAGAATCAAAATCTGCAAGATGGTGGGTCTCACACCCATCATCTCACATATTTTGACACCCTGCTGCTGACACTGCCGGTGAAAAATTTTTGGAACGTGCCTTCCCCCAACGTACTACTGAACAGCACGTTCACCAAATGACTGTGCACCCTTAATCAGCAGCAGGATCATTAGGATTCACACCAGCTTCAACTTTAAATCTTGGCTCTCTTATTTAGTACTTGGCTTATCCAGGAGAAAGCTCACAGACACAAATCAGCAAGATTAATTGCTTTGCTATAGACCAGAATGAAGCTGTAGATGAAAGATGATTTGATATTCAGAAGTCAAAGTCCTTTTGTAGGTCTGTGCTCCCGGGTTTAAATTCTAGGTCTTCCCCTGCCTTTGCAAGTCAACTGATACTCAGCTGGTCTTTGGATGGCACCTAATTTAACCATAACGGTTTTCTTTAACCCAGGAACACGCCAGGTTCCTGCTCACCACCTGAATTCCTTACATTCTCCAAATCCAACTCCTGGGGTACAATTCTGAATTGCTTTTCCTCACTTCCTCTCTATCTCAGCTCAGGATATCCTTTCTTTAAGAAGCTGTTTATCTGCTTGTTTGTTTTGAATTGGGGGGGGGGTTAAGGCGCCAAAGGGGGTTCGTACTTTCTGTAAAAGGCAATGTTTCTCTGGAGACTTGCGAACCAACTCCAAAAGGCCCAGATCAGCCCATCACAGGGGAAAATAGAACAGTCTGAGCAAACAGCTCCATGTTCCATATTTTATGTATGTATGTATGTATGTATGTATGTATGTATGTATGTATGTATGTAATTACATTTATTATAGCCACCCATTCCAGCAGGTTCTGGGCAGCTTACAAAACCTACTACTAAGTAAAAACAATTAAAAACATAAACAGCCACTGAAATGCAGTGTGACAGGGCCTCCCTGCCCCCCACATTGCTAGTTGTTGCACATCAATAAGCATCCATTCTGAGCCAAATTTCAGTTCTGTTACAGAACAAAGTAAGTTGTACCCACAGTAAATGATGTCACATAGTCAAATTTGGATGTTAAGGGCAGATTGCAAGGAGGGGATGTGGGCACGTCTAAAGCACCAGCTGGAAGCACCTTAAAGTCTCTTCCTGAGGCTATGCAACAGCTGCAGCGCCCAAGATATGGAGTGGGGGCTTCCTTATGGGGATCCTGATTGGGGGGGCAGAATCAGCCATGTGTGCCATGAGACCCAGTTGGCTCTTTGAATCTGGATCCCTGCACAACCTCCGGTTTAGTCGTTCTCAAGCCCCGCTGATTTCAACGGGACTAAAACGAGACTCAGTCTGGATCCAACCCAAGATTTTTGCATTCAAACTGCCCAATGGTTCTGATGAGGCAGCGGCGATTGCCCAGCTAATACCAAGAGAGCATCACCATTTGAAATTTAAAGCAATATGTGGAAGACTATACTTTACCCCAAAGTGTTGTGCTGTCCACCCTGTCTGCATCTGGGAAAAAAAAGAAGAAAATTAAGCAATGAATTAACCTGGATACAACTGCTTAAAATAAAACATGCCTGTATGTGAGCTTTTAAATTTAACAGTAAACCATATATGCATCTTGTGTTTTCAGTTTTGTTAAAAACATCAGTTCCGTTGTATCATAGTAACATATCCCATAGCAAAGGAAAGCATAGAAGAGACACTCTTGGGACAACAGAATGCAATTAGGAGAATTATTAAATCATAATATTTCTCCTCTGTGGTGCCAATGGTTTGTCTGTCTGTCCATCCATCCATCCATCCATCCATCCATCCATCCATCCATCCATTCATCCAAACATAACTGGCAAGTAAGAGAAAGGTGGACTTAGGCATTAAAAGGCTTAAGGGCAGCTCTTATTTTCAACCCAAATTGGAATTCTGTCCACTTCCTCCATTTAAACAAAATGGCAATGTTTACCTACACACTTTGTAAATAATGTACTGTAATAACATAGCTTGACCGCAAGACAAAATTATGGAGCAATGGAGATATGTAAGACTTTCTGTGCGTTCTAACCACAGATTAGCTGGTTTGATGTGTTTCATGTCTCAATCAAAGCAGGGGTGTCCACAAGGTATGGCCCAAAAAATCAGGATGGTGGCAGCAACAGTGTAATCAAAGATTTGCCTATTACGTGCGTTGTACCCATCGGGTCTTCACTTCAGAACTGGGCATCTATGTTATGGGCATTAGTTGAAAAACTCCCTTCTAAGATGACGATGATCAAAGACGTAAAATGGAGCAGCTACACAGGTACATGGCATCCTTATTTTAAAGGCACTTGAGGAATTTGTATTTATGCAATCTCCAATTTTTCAACTAACATTTAAATTAAACATTAAAACATTTTCTAAAGGACTACAGACATGTAGAACCAGTAACCAGAAGATCTTTTCGTACTACACCTGGGCTCCTTTGTTTGCAGATCTGGGCGGTGAGATCCTGCAGGTACACTGGGAAATGTTCAAAGCGATCCCCATAAGATACGACTTTTATGCCATGCACAAGCATATCTGCCTGCAATTTAAAAAACTGGTCTTCGTTCTCCTTGAGCACCAACATGTAATGTTCTAGTTCCACTTTGTTTTTAACCGTGTATAGAAAAAGAGCTTGAAAGATTTGATCACGCAGGGTCTCCCCGCAGCCCACAAACAAAAAAGATTTTCGCCGGTATAGGTTTTGTAGTGCCTCCTGTTAAAATAACAAGCAGTTATTAAAGAAAATGGGGGCCTTCCAATCCCTGGCAGTGCGAGGCAGAGTTGACACCTAAATCTATGACACCTAAATACGTATTAAACAAAAATATTGCTACCCATAATTCAAAATTGCTAGGTTCTTTCTCTGTCCTTCTCTTTTTCAAGCTGGGATTATGCCAAAAATAGTGGTAAGCGTGAGCTAGTAGCATTTTGTGGAGTTATTACAAGGTTGTGGTTAACACATCCTTTTGCACTTTTATGCCTCTGAAATTTTGCAGCACAGTCCAACATTTACTCTCAGTATGTTCAGCAGCATCCTCAGAGAGAGAGGTCAAAAGAGTCAAGGTGGTGATCAAACTTCTGTCCGTTTGTACTTACAGGGGCTGTGACTGCACCACCACATTGACTTTTTTTCACGCCACCCCCCTCTGGATGCTGCTGAGTATACGCATGCTCTGAGATATCTGCTAGCATCAAGAACTGCTTGGATCCTGACCTCATTTGAAGTGAGTTGGTAAAGTGCAAGAAATAATCTTGCGCTGCGGAGACCTTAGCGAAGATCTCTTGAGTCAAGAAGCTCAGGGACAGCCGTTGGAGGAATCAATCTTTCCCACCCTGACTTATCTTACAGGAAGTCGTGAAAACAAGGATTCATTAGTCCTCCCATGTCAGCCCCAAATGCTTCTCATGTTGTATGAATATGCCACACAACAGCCGTAGCAAGCACAAAGTTTAACTCAGTTAACGTGGCACAACTTAGTTGAGCCTTAAGGGGATCACTGTTCCAGGAGAGGACACGCAAGTGCAATTCATCAGCTGTATCCAATTCTTCTCAGTGTACTTCTGAGGCACCGCTGATCTTAAGGCTGCGTGGCCCAACAAAAAAGCTTGTCCAGCCTTTGGTTCCACATACCATCACTTCAGGGTCTTGAGTCACTTCCTGATATCCTGAGGGATCCAGCACCATTCCACAGGGATCAGTGTACAGACCGTGAATGTGAAGGACGCCATATCTGAGGTGTCCTTTTGCCCACTGGAGAACCTGAGGAGAGACCAGTTGTTCAGTAAGTTGTTGGGTATTAAGGGTTGCAGGTTCTCACACACAGCCTGCAGAAAGAGACTAGTGATTTATTCATTTTGATGGCAGTGCTATTATGTCCCTCCTTGCTTGCTTCATATAGAAGCATCTGGTAGAAACCATGATGATGTCACATATTTCATGACATCATCACACAAAGGTCACAACTTATGCAATTTGTGTGATGATGTTATAGACCTCATGATGACCTCCCAGCTCCTCACTGTGGATGCCCAGACAGTAGATTACGACCTTTAGGCTATATACTGTCTAAATAATATTTTTCTTTAGCATCTTGTTGATGTTACCTAACGGAACCATCTCCAAGACTTGTGTCTTCAAAGAAACCACCTTCTCTAGCTGCTTAAAAATTAAGATTTTTAAAGAGACTTGTAACCAATGACATTAAAGGGGCATTTAAAAAAACAATTACTATACAGTTATTCAGCAAACGACACAGCTTAAAACTGAAAGGACACCATATATCTAAATAACATTGTATAATGAAGAATTTATCTCCTTCAAGAATGCAGGGGAAAGAAGCGAATGGCACAGCACATAGTCTACTTTTTTCCATATCAGTTCCACCAAAACACACAGGGTGCCCACAGGGTACCATAGAAAAAGTAAAAATGGCAGCCATGATTGGGTGATGCCCATTAAAACAGGCAAAGGTTTGATCCCACTATTGTGGCTGCCATCTTGACCTTCTAAGACATTTCTCCTGCTGTTCATTATCCATTTCAAAGAAATCGGAGAGATGGGCCCCACCTTTCACGTTTCCTAGCAGGCAACTCCCACCTGTATTTACTAGTCACTTCATACCTGGTCTTTATCTTTCAGGTCAATGGATTCCATAGCTTTATGCTGCTGTTGGCCAAAGATTTCAAGTAAGTTGTCATAATTGGTAGTAAGCACCATTGTGCCCCGTTCCATTAGTTGGAGGATGGACAGGAGAACAGCAGGGTGCTGAATGTGGTGGTCCAAGTTGTCAAACACCTCCATTAAACAGTCCTGGAAAAAATTGGGTTTGGCATCTCCCGTGCGCTGTGGAAGGATACAGAACAGCTTCAGGGAGGTGGAACAAATCTATGTTAGAAGTCTTGGATGATGTCTGGAACTGCAAAGCATTTCCACGTTGGGCCTAAACTACTTCCAGGGCTCCTCACTCTTCTTCAGTCCATCTCATCCCTGTAATTTTCAACAGGCAACTCTGATTTTTCCATTGAAGGGCCAAGACTATGGAAAATATGCCATTAAGACAGAGACTTGATCCCTCTTTATTCTACTTCAGGAGGGAACTGAAAATATTTATTTTTACCTGGGTGTTTTAGAGGGTTCTTCTGCTAGTGATGTGTAATGGTTTCTTAGACTGCATTTTAATCTCCTGTTGATTGATAGAATAATTGCAGATGTCTGTAAGCCATCTAGAGCAGTGTTTGTCAACCTTAGCAACTTTAAGATATGTGGACTTCGAACCCCCCAAGTTCCCCCACCCACCCCCCCTTATGGGGCGGTCATTTCACAGCGTCTATTACATAATTCAATTTAAGAAATGTAGAAAAAA